TCATATGATATTTCTATCAGTTCTACTTCAGACTGCAGAATGCTGAGATGGTTGTAATGCAGCAGGAAAACTACTGAAAATGCCATCAACCAGTCAAAAATGTATGTCTTCAGATCTGCTTTGTATTTATTTTAGTGAAATAGTATTATAATGAATTTGCTCATTTCTTGTATTTATAGGAAAAGACTTACACAGGGCTATGGTTCCTACAAGAGCTTTATTTAGAAATACCTTTATTTAAGGAGACAGGTAATAGTCAGTTGAGAGCAATGCTAAGGAGAACTAACAGATTGCCTGGGATTTAAATTACTTCCCTCTGAGGAAACTAATGATCTTTTGAGATGCTCCTCAGACATAATAGTCCTGGTTCTAATCTCACACTTGAATTCAACAGAGTTAGTCCTCGTCTGTACAGTTGAGTTACACCTGTATAAAACTTGTGGGAGGAAACAATCAGGCCCAATAGATGGATTTTGAAAATAAAGTAGTATCAACTGGTGTCCACTGTGCCAAATGGATCAAATGAAAACAGGACTACAGGATATACCCTGAAATATACCCTATACAAGGAGCCAGAATTTAACAATGTACATTGCCAAAGAGCCACAGTAATACATCAGCAGCCCCCATCAGCTCCTGCTCCCAGCGCCTCCCATACACCGGCAGCCCTACCGGTCAGCGCCTTCCCCTCCCTTCCCGCACCTCCTGATCAGCTGTTTCGTGGCATGCAGGAGGCTCTGGGGAGGAGGGGGGAGAAGTGAGGGCACTGCAGGCTCAGGGGAGGGGACGGGAAGGGGTGGATTGGTGGCAGGGCCTGTGGCAGAGCCAGGGGTTGAGCAGTGAGCATCCCTGGGGCATTAAAAAGTTGGCGCCTGTAGCTCCAACCCCGGAGTCAGTGCCTATACAAGGAGCCGAATATTAACCTCTGAAGAGCCGCATGTGGCTCCAGAGCCATAGGTTGGCCACCCCGATATAAAAGCTCTGAAGAAGGTACAGTTTTATGCCATATTCTAGTTCATTAAACCACACCTACATCAGTCAATCATAAAAGAAGCATAACACATCGTACTGATTCGTCTTTACAAACTGAGAAAGGCTCTATAATTGCATCCCTAATCACTTTTCTTCTTCGATTCCATTCTAGGTGTGTGCGTGCCCATGTGCACAGTTGTCAGAGACTTTTGCCTTAGCGGTATCGGTAGGGTCAGCTGTAGCACCCCCTTGAGTGCCACACTCGTGTCAGTATATTAGGCACTGCCGACCCTATACCCTCTCAGTTTCTTCTTACCATTGGTGAAGATTGGTTGGAGTGCCTAGTCTTGCAGATCACAAGAGCATTAGCACTTCTTTACAACCTTTATCTTCTTTGTGCACAGATTGTAGGTACTTAGTTAGCCATTAAGTTAAGTGTTAGGTTAGTTAGTAGTTAGAGTCTGGGACTTCGTCCCGGAGTGAAGCATGCCCTGCTGTCCAGGCTTCAAACCATGTTCGTCATGCAGCAGGCCAATGCCTATCAGTGACCTCCACAACAGCTGCTTGAAGTGTTTGGGGGAGTCCCATAGAAAGGACAAGTGTCAAATCTGTAATAACTTTCTACCTAGAACCCAAAAGGAGCGGGATATCCGCTTGAGGGCCCTCCTAATGGAGGTTGCGCTTTGTCCTGCATTGGAGCTCTCCCACTCGGACCCCAGGCCGAGCACTTCAGCTTCGGTGTGGAGTGCACCGCTAACACCGGGCTCCACCCAGCACCGTTCCCCCTCATTGGTGCCTAAGAAGTGGCAAAAGAAGACGATTCCCTCCCCCCACCACACACACACACACGGCACCGGAAGGGAAAGGGGTCTGAGGCAAAAGACTGATGTCAGGCCATGTGCCTGCCCTGGGGCTTCATAGGGGTACTGCAGAGGTCAGACTCTCCCCTCTCCCCCAAGTCTGACCAGGGATCCGACTCCGGAGAGTGGCAGGGGACCCAGGTCTCTCCCAGGGCCTTTGTTGCCCGAAGCGGGCCCGGTGGCTAAAGAAAACAAGTAGGACGACCGGCACTGCAGGCGCTGCACCAGGAGGCAGATTTGGCTAAGACCCCAATATCTAAGGGCAACCCGATCATAGGACAGCCTCTTAGGGCAGTGGAGCATCCTCGGTCATCAGACCGCAGCCACAGATCTCCATCTCCGTGGCCTTGGACCCTGGCACTGTACCCTAGGTCTCCAGCTAGAAGGCCCAGATCCTCGATGCACTCTCCATGTACAAGACATGGGACAGTGGAGTTGAGGCATCAGTTCCCATACCACCGGTACCAGGGAGCTTCCCATCACAGATCACCACAGCCCAGGTGGCTTTTGCCTAGACGGTCTCCCAGATATCTGTCCCCACCCAGGCAGAGCTGCTCCTTGTCACAGCACCAATCCCCTTCACCCCGGTACCGTTCACTGGGCAAGTGTCATTCCTCGCCCTCCCTCACTGGTCACTGACCAAAGTCAGTCCGCAGACTCGGGCCTCGACGGCTCCTCCCTGGTCGCCGGAAGGACAGCAGTCCGAATTGGAATGGGAGTTCAGCACCTCACCAAGAAGGGTCGATTCGCTGCTGACTCGTGAGACAGGCGTGGCACCTGCAGCAACCACATGGCAGCAGGGACAGTGGCCCACTCAGTGGCCATATTGGAACCCATGGGGCACTGCTGGACCTCTCGGTGGCCGCTCCATTACAGCTGCCGCTCTGACCGGATCTGCTGTCAAAAAACCACGGCAGTCTTCTGCATCTGAACCTGGAGGCACTGCAACTGACAGTTTGGCTGCTGCATGGTTGAATGTTTAGGAGCGGCCGTGCTCGGCCGAAGTCCAACAGGTCCTGTTGAGCAATAGAAAGCCCTCCACCAAAGCAACCTACCTTTCCAAATGGAAGCAGTTCGACTGCTGGACGTCGGATAAAGGCATTCAGCCTGAGCAAGCATCACTGCAGTTAATCCTGGACTACCTTCTGCATCTCAAGGCCTGTCCCTTCATCTATCAAGGTCCATTTGGCAGCTATCTTGGCCTTCCATCCACTACTCGAGGGTAGGTCAGTTTTTGCCAAGGACATGATGGTCAGGTTCCTCAAGGGCCTCAAGTGCCTTTACCAGCACATCAAGGACCCCATTCCTCCGTGGGACCTGAATCTGGTGCTGTCGTAGCTCCTTAGTCCCCACTTCAAGTCTCTGGCTTCCTGCTCTCTCTTTCACCTGTCCTGGAAGGTCATGTCCTGGTCACCGCGTCTCCGAGATTAGGGCACTCACCTCGGAACCACCTTATATAGTCTTTTACAAAGACAAGGTCCAGCTGAGGTGGCCAAGGACAAGGTGGCTTCTCAGTTTCATACAAGTCAGAACCCTTTTTTACCTGTCTTTTTTCCAAAGCCGCATATGTCAGTTGAGGCGCATAGGCTGTATTTCCTAGACGTCAGGTTGGCACTAGCCTTCTGCATTGAAAGGACCAAGCCATTCTGCAAGTCGATGAGGTTGATAGGATGAAAGGTCTCCCAGCGTCTGCACAAAGAATTCTTCTTGGATCACTGCCGGCATTCACTACTGCTATGATCAGACGAAGGTGCAACCCACGGTGATTGTAACCGCCAACTCGACCAGGGCACAGGCCTCTTTGGCAGCCTTTCTGGCCCAGGTGCCTATCCAGGACATCAGTAGGGCGGCCACCTGGTCCTCTGTCCATACGTTCATGTCCCACTACACACCCAGCAGGCCCTGGACGATGCTGGTTTCGGTAGAGCAGTACTACAAGCCGCCAAACTGTGAATTCCGAGCCCACCTCGGATACTGCTTGTGAGTCACCTAGAATGGAATCAACATGAGCAAGCACTCAAAGAAAAACAGTTACCTACCTTTTGTAACTGTTCTGCAAGATGTGTTGCTCATGTCAATTCCCTGCCCTCCTACCCCTCTGTCAGAATTGCCAGCAAGAAGGAACTGAAAGGGCGTAGGATCGGCGGCGCCTAATATACTGACGCACGAGCGCGGCACTCAACGGGGTGGCACAGCTGACCTTACGGGTACCACTAAGGCAAAAGTCTCCAACAACTGTGCACGTGGCAAGCACATACCTAGAATGGAATGGACATGAGTAACACATCTTGAAGAACAACAGTTACAAAAGGTAGGTAACCATTTTTCCTTTGTTACTCAAAGTGGTATTCTAGTAAATACTAGAGTCGCTTGTTTTAATCCCAGACAGATGACAATTGCTTTCTTAAATTTGCTCTGAATTGAAGAGAGAGTGTGCCTAGCTAGCACTGTTGAAAGCTTGGAAATTTACCTACTGAATTACAACAGCATTCTACAATTAAATGCAAAAACTAAGTTAAGAAGGAAGTTTGGAATGCCAGTGTTATGTTTCCAGAGCATCTGTAACTCTCTTAGGCCTTGTCTACACTACAGGGGAAATTGGATCTAAGCTATGCAATATGAGTTATCTGAATAGCGTAATTCAAATCGATGTAGCTTAGACCTACTTACTGCGGGGTCCACACTACGCGATGTCGACAGGAGACACTCTCCCATCAACTCCCCGTACGCTTCTTGATCTGGTGGAGTACAGGAGTCGATGGGAGAGTGATCTGCGGTCGATTTAGCAGATCTTCACTAGACCCGCTAAATCAACTGCCAATGCATCGATCGCCACTCGTTGATCCCCAGGTAAGTGTAGACAAGCCCTTAGACTATATAGTATTTTGCTGCCTTCTATTTTTTTTATTATGGTTTGCATACACACTGTTTCAAAGTAATTACTGTAGGAACCACAACTTTGAATTTGTGCATATCAGATAATAAGAAAATCTCAGCTGAGTGTTTGATCATATTTGAATAAGCAGGTGATATCTTGGGTGTGAGTGAGGTACCATGAGCTGCTAACCTAGTTCAGCATCTGTTTCCTCACATGCACTTTTATTTATTTATTTATTTATTTTATTTTAAGGCTGTCTGGATTTTCACTAACTCTGTTGGTGTTTTCAGGGAACTGAATGGGAGGCTTCTTCCCCTAACTTGTCGCCTGGGGGAAATTGACTAGCTCTCTCTAGAGTTTTCAGGAAGAAGTCAATGAGATTGTTCAGAGGGTCAACCCCAAGCCTGATGTATGTGCTCCTCTGTGTGGTATTCTGCTCTTTGAATACTGAAAGCACACTGAGGCTCAGATTCTAGGACCCTGTGAGGTGAGAGGGTTCTAGAGCCGGGCTGCAGCCCAAGCACGAACATTTATGCTACAATTAAACAGCCCTTTTTCCCGAGCCCTGTGAGTCAGCTGGCACAGGCCAGCTTCCAGTGTCTAGTTGCAGTGTGTAGACATACACTCAGGGTGCACTGAAGGATTTCACAATCACCATCATTAATTGATCTGGCTTTACTGCAAGCTCATCTTCCACCTCATCTCAAAGAACTAGAAAACCTCTGCAATGGACCCTCCTTTCAAACATTAACTGAACTGGGTGAAAGTAAGGGCAAAGTTTATGTTCAGCTTGCTATTTCGTGCTTATCCATTTTATCTACATGATTACTCACTTTGCAATGGACAAGAACATGTAACTGTTCTCTTGGAGTTAGGACAGAATAACCAATTATAGTCACAGCCAGCACACACAAACATTAAATAGCCAGTCAATGCTTTAACCTCACTCTTGATTGCTAGGATTGCATGTACATGTGCAACTCACAGTTATGATGTGAATGTAATGACAAACTTAACTTTAAAATCCGATTGCATGGTGTAGAATTGCCTGGCTTTTCTAGCAGTGATGTATAAGACAAGGTGTGATTCACGTGTCCAGGAAAGAAAAAGATTCCAAATGCTATAATTCTGCCACCCACATAAGCTGCTTCTGTCCTCTCCAGAGAAAATCAAAGGTTCAGTGACTTGATCACAGATTCTCCCTCTTTGTTACATACATTCTCCTCCAATCAGGGAACAGAAACAACACTATGTGATCAAGCAGACCTAGCATACGATGATGAATCTACAAACTACAGTTCATAAACAATTCCTAGGCTGAAACTTGTTCATAAACTACCCAACAGTTACAGATAGCCTATTTTTCTGCTTACAAACTGATTTTTGTGCTAAATTTGTGTAATGATTCATTCAAAATACCTCAGCTCCCAATTATGATTGTGAATTACAATAACAGCTGATGGCAACAGGATCTGGCAGCAGAAGCTGCGCAATATGAACTGGCACACTTTGCAGTTGAACAAGTTCCAAAGAGTACAACTACACAGAAAGGTTGAGGTAGTACTGCCTCACTTGTATTTTTATTTCAAGCAAAGGGAGGGTTGTTATGTAGAAGTCTTTTTTCTTTTTTTTTCTTTTTTTTTTTACATTTTGGATAGACCCTTTCCCATTCCACTAGTTTGTTTGGTGTCTGTAACATGATGTGGTTTTCAGCAGCATTTTCCAACCCAATGTTGTTTACAAGTGAAGGCTGTGTGACTGGGGGTACAAAAATCCTGAAGACTTAAGTCTTCCCAAAAAAAACATGCTGCACTGAGCTGAGTGTAAAAGGGCCTGTCTTGTTTTTCAACCTTCATTGTAGACCATCTCCACATTGGACCTCCCTTTCAAACATCACCAGAGCTGAACAAAAGTCAAGTCAATGTTTATTTTTATCTTGGTACTTCAGATGTAAACCTTAGGGCTTGTCTACACTGGCAAGTTTCTGCACAGTAAAGCAGCTTTTTGCACTCAAACTGCAGACGTGTACATGCTGCCAAGCCTCTTTGTGCCCAGAAACTCCTCAGTTGTAGCGCTGCAAAAAAAACACCTTGAGGAGAGTCGTAAGGCTATTTGCACAGAGGCTCCAGTGCTCTATTGCCCGTGTAGACATTTGATTGCTTTCTGTGCTGTAATTGGCCTCCGGAGTTGTCTCATAATTCCTCAAGTGACCATTCTGCTCATTGTTTTGAACTCGGCTGCCCTGGAGACATGCGCCCCTCCCCTTTCAAAGCACCGTTTCTGACAGCCTTTGTGTGCTGTGCTGATCTGCTTCAGGACACAAAGCAAACCATTAATGTGGAATGCTCGTGCTGTTGAACACAGAACCGGGAGGGGGAGGGAGGGTGTGTGTGTGTGGGTGTGGGTGTGTGAGAGACATTGCTGTGCAGAGAGCCCAGGGATGGAGGCAGGGGCTGATGTCAGGGGTCTCCCCCTGCCTCAGGACAGGTTGCTTCCTGCCACTGTCTGAACTTACAAGACAGCATGCTGACACACTTTCGGTTCCCCCCTCCATACACACACACTCCCTGTCAAAAACTCTCCTCAGGGCCGACGGGGGGGGGGGGGAGGGGAGCAAGTGGGGCAATTTGCCCCGGGCCCCACAGGGCCCCGCACGAGAATATAGTATTCTATGGTATTGCAACTTTTTTTTATGGAAGGCCCCCAAAATTGCTTTGCCCCAGGCCCTCTGAATCCTCTGGGCGGCTCTGACTCTCCTACCCCCCTCCACTTCAGTTGAAAAGCAGCTGGCAATGTAGTAGGATGCCCATGGAAGATGGGATTGAGAAAGCTGCATCATGTGACGCTGTGCCTGCCCCATGAGGCACTGTAAACCCTTCCCAAAGCACCCTGTGGCCAGTTGCACGGGGGGATAGCTACCACAATGCACTGCTGTCTTTGCCGTTGCAAGAGCTGTTAATGTGGATGTGCTCCAGCGTCACAAGGAGCAGTGTGGACACACAACAGCGGTTTAATTCCAGCGGTTTAATAAAAGTGGTATAACTTGTGGTGCAGAAACTTGATGGTGTAGACAGAGGGGGGAGGGATAGCTCAGTGGTTTGAGCATTAGCCTGCTAAACCCAGGGTTGTGAACTCAATCCTTGAGGGGGCAACTTAGGGATCTGGGGAAAAATCAGTACTTGGTCCTGCTAGTGAAGGCAGGGGCTGGACTCAATGACTTTTCAGGGTCCCTTCCAGTTCTATGAGATAGGTATATCCCCATATATTACTCTTAGTTCCTTCCTCTAGCCCAATACTCAGTCCTGATGGTCTATGTTGACTTCCTTCATAAAGAACAGCTTCTTTTCTCCTAATTTTTAGGTTTTGAATCCAAGAAAAGCTATTCAATTCCCTGGTTATAACAGGTATTTATCATCTTATATGAAATGTGTACAAGTTAACCTAATTCAACTGTCCTACTGTCACTGCTACAAAATGAGAGGCTAAAAGCTGGGGTTCGGGCAACCTCCAATCTGTTGGGTTCTACATCCTTGCTGTGTTTGGAGAAGAGAGCACAGGTTGTTTCCACAAAGGCATTTCAAGAGATCCCAGAATTTTGACAAACCCAAATTTTAGGGAACATGTTTAGGGGACTCATTATTTTAAACAAGGTCTGGAAACTGAGGACTAAAAGCTGGTTGGCCTTGGCTTGGCTGCACATAATAATAAGGAGCTTTACAAAGTGTGGAGCTGGGCTACATTCAGGGCTAAGTAAAATGCTGTTACTGCACCCAAGACAGCGTAGCACTCCAAAGGTGTGGGAGAGTAGGTAGCCATGGCTCTGGCCTCACTATGTGCCAGCCAGGAGAGCTGGTTAGGCCACACAGTGGTGGGGACTATGCTGAACCTGATAATGGGTGAAGCACTTCCTGCTAGCTCTCCTTTTGTACTAGGGAGCTAAGAGAAGCAAAACAGCACAGCTCCACACCACTCCCAGCCCAGGACTGTGGATGAATGACATAGTCTACCCTGAGAAACAGGTATTAATACATCATTTTGCGCTATCAAGCTGCAGTACAGATGGATGTCAAATGTTTAGTATTTCTACTACAGCTCTGAGAGACCCTCGGAGATTAGGATTTAGTTGCATTATCTGATGCTGTGTTCGAGTCTGGTTGTGACAATAAGTATTTGTTCACACACACACACACACACCACAGTCCTTTGAAATATTGAATCTGTTGACAGCATTAAGACACAAAACAAAACACTAAGACTTTCTCTAAACACAAAAGTAGTACAGATTTAACTATACTTACAAACAGCAGTATAACATTCCTATACAGGATGGGGAATGAGCTCTACTGTATAACACACCTTTGTATTGTATATCTGTGTCCACATTAGGGATTGTACTGGTATAAATATAGCCGTAAAAAGCTCGCTCCCTCAACCAATATAGTTATACCAGTACAACACCTTTGTGTAATCCAGGACTGAGCCTTAACGTGTTACATTATTAAAGTTGTCATGAGAGGTTGTGGCATCGCTTCATTGGATAAGCAATTCCGAAACAATCAAAACAACAGCAAGCTAAGCAAAATACATGCTAAAAATAGTTGGCCTTTTAACATGTGTAATTTGTACCATGTACTTTACCCTCTTGCATGAGCATAAAAATCCATGAGAAGAGCACAAGCTATTACGGAAAGAACCATGAAGGTCTTTCTCCTGCTAGCAGCCATTGGACTTTGTTCGGCGCAATACAACCCAAATACAAAACCTGGGAAGATGTCTATTGTCCACCTGTTTGAATGGCGTTGGGCTGACATTGCTCTTGAATGTGAACGGTATTTAGCACCCAATGGATTTGGTGGAGTTCAGGTACGTAGCCTCTAATATTAATTGACAGTGAAATTGCTTCATAGGCTGCACATTTTGCTTACCAAACTAAAAATCCAGGTTATATGGGACAGGCACCAAGTTCAAACTAAATAGAAATTGGTAATGGAAGTACTAAATGCTAAAGCAGTGAAAATAGACCAGCCCGTCATGATAGGGTGTATTTATTTAATCACTCCAAAGGTTGTAATTGAAATATTTATTCCTCTAAATGAAAAGCAACACCTGAATCTTTATTTACTACTGTGGAAAATGAGGGAGATACCTGTATTTTTTTTTTATGACTATCGTATGTGCCTCAGTTTACCTGCCTGGTATTTTGACTATGCAGAATTAAATGAAAGGAGAATGTTAGGAGGAAACAAACAGGAAATGACAGAGCTAAAGGTACCCCCAGAGAGATACCAAGGCTCCTTAGGGGAGCAATGGAATGAGCTTTAATTGGGAAATACCCACCTCTCTGACTCCAGCTGGGCTAGTATGTTTATTTTTCCTGACCCTGGGATCAAAGGAACATGATGGTAAAGACACCTCTGCCTAGGAACAAGGAGGGTGAGCAGGCAGCTGGGCTGGAGGTAGGTCTGACAGACACACTGAAAGTATGTTGCAGGGGCTGGCTGTCTCTCTCCCAGCCCAGGTCTGGGCTGGATGGAATTTACTCAAAACTTGCAAAGAAAGCAGGGCCGGCTCCAGGCACCAGCCTGACAAGCAGGTGCTTGGGGCGGCCGCTCCAGAGTGGGGCAGCACGTCCAGCTATTCGGCGGCAATTCTGCGGACGGTCCCTCACTCCTGCTAGGAGGGAAGGACCTCCCGCTGGATTGCCGCCGCAGATCGCGATTGCGGCTTTTTTTTTTTTTTTTTTTTGGCTGCTTGCCAAAACCCTGGAGCTGGCCCTGAAAGAAAGAATAAAGTTTAGGTAAGACATGGACATGTATATAGGCCCCTCACTTTTTAACTCACTTCTTGTAATACTATGTATTTTGAGGGGAATAAATAATTTAGGGTTACCATTCGTCTGGATTCCCCTGGACATGTCCGGCTTTTAGAGTTAAAAATAGCATCCGGGGGGAATTTGTAAATGTCCGGACTCCCCCCTCCCCCCCCCCATGCAGAGCGCGCGCGGCTAACAGGGCAGTCGGCCGGATGGTGCCACTTACATGGGGCTCCGACAGCCAGAGAGAGCCCGTCCTCTGCCGCCTCCTCCTCTCCCGTGCAGCTGAGAGCACTCCCTCCCTCCCCGCATTCTCAGATCAGCAGCCGGCCGTTCGCACCGGCAGTCTGGAGCTCCACCCCCTGCTCCTCCTCCCCGGCACACTGGTCTGAGCGGCAGGGTAAGGGAGCCAGGGGGTCGGAGAAGGGGCAGGGGCAGGGAGGTTCTGGAGGGGGCAGTCAAGAGACATGGAGCGGGGGGGGGGTCTGGAGTTAAGGGGGGGGCTT